CTGCAGCACTGACCAAGTCAGTCTCTCTGCAATGGCGTAGCGTGCAAAGGCTCTCCAAGGGCTTCTTCTTGCCCTCACTACCGCAGCTCAGCTTGCGCTTCTCCAGACATCTCCATGAATCCCTAGGGAGAGCCCCGCTCCTGCTCACTTTCCAAACACCATCCCCTCAGCTTGCTTTATGCCTCGCACGAGTTTTTCTAACTGAAACAGGCTGGCTTGAAATAAATCAGGCCCAAATGAAGCTTGGAGAGGCAAGCTCAGCCTGGGACACATCTCTGTGCCTACAGAAGACAACCATACATCATTTAGGAATCTAAATGTACCATTCTTCATGCACACAGTCATATTTCCCTCTTTCATTACCATCTTAATAATTACAGCAGTCTACATGTAAGTGCTATAAGAAAAACAAAACCAAACACAGCTTTCTTCTAACTGTGCTGTTCTGCCTCTTATGTGTCAGAAGAATGAGACTGGTTAAAATCGGATATCTGATGGAAAGAAAAAGTTCTCTTTCTTTTCCGGTTCCTGACTCTTGTCCTGGCTTCTGGAGCCTGAAGAAAATGTGCTGTTTCAAATGCAAATATTCAGTGAATGACAAGGTATGCCATGTTTTTATCGTGGCCTATTAGTCCAGCCTCATTCAGATCTATAGTCCTGAAGTAGGCACTCATTTGACCCCGTCTACAGGGAAGCCAAAACCACAGTGGTACCTGCAGCCTTCAGCCGTGGTGTGTTGGAGGCTTGTCACCCTGAAGGAACAGCTGGGCAGGTGTTCAAGTTCCTGTCACTTTGGTCCATGCACTGCACCCATCATGCCCATCACCCTGCTAATGCCAGCACTAATTGCATGACAGAAGTACAAGCTTTACATTGACTTACTTATTAGTCCTTCATTCTAATACTTCACTACAGATCAAACCAAGGAAATTCAGGCTATAAAAACCACCAGGCTGTTGGAGATGAGAAATGCTGCATTGTCTATCTACCTGTTATTTTAATGCCAGTGAAACTCAGAGTAAACTCTCCACAGAAAACAACCTCAAGTTCCCAACAGACCCGCTACAAGGATCAGCTCTGGGGACAGGACCCAGCTCACTGATTTTCCTGAAGGGTATTAAATCAATACAAGACTCCCAAACTTCATATGGGAACCAAATTAACTCCCCAAAAGCAAACATATATTCTTATACCCTGTGGAAGGAACAGACCTACACAGTCTCCATTACATATCTCTATAGCTGCCCAGTTATGGGACCTGGCACAGATGTTTCTCAGACCCTGATACACTTTCAGTGAGCTCCACTGTGTTGATTTTAGCCTTTCTTTCCCTCTGAATTTTGCTGCAGTTTTATGTTCATCAAGGACTGAAGTTGGGAAAACACAGGCGCTCCCTTGCATATGAAGCTTTATTAAGTTGGGATCATCATCTCTGTTGGCAGGCACAGGAATAGAGAGACAGAGGAGAATGAAAATGAGAAGGGGAAAAAAAAAGCCCAACCAAAACATAAACAGCTTTCACTCTTCAGGGCAGACACGCCTTCTTACTCCAGATCATTCATCCCGCTCCTCAGCTCCCAGCCAGTAAAGAGTCAACATCTCATTCCTATGAAAACATGAGCTCTCCCGCCCCTGAGCCGTATAGCAGCAAACGCACTGACAGGGACTCGGAGGATCCTGTTTCTTAGGATGGAGTTGCATTTCCCCAGTAGAACTGAAATCTCTTTGCTTACAACAGAAGCAAGGTCAACGGTGCTTTGAAGCCTCTTATTTTGCACGGCGTGTGTGTTACCTAACGGAGCACAGTCCAGCCCTTAACTCCTTCCTCCACAACCACAGCCGCGTTCAAAGGCTCTGCAGAGGGGAAAGCGCGCAAACGCGCATGATTAATACCATGTGCACATGTGTGTGTTTACAAGAGGGATGTACTGTGCTGGGTGGTAGGTACGCACATCCAAGGAGTGTTTGTCCAAGAACTATGTGGCCCGGGGAGGGAGGAGAATACACACAGAGCAGGGAGAGCAGCACCGGCGGAGCGCAGCGCGGACACGAACATGCTGCCGAGCTTTTGCGTAACGCGGATCAATGGGTCAGACTTCCAGTTTCCCAACAGCTTTCCCTGACAAATGCCAGAACAGATAGCAGGGAAGTCAAGCAGGGCAGCAATAACATCACTGCCAACCGGCGTGAAAATTGGCAGAGCCTGGCACAGAGGGCTGCCTATCATCAGAGCCGGGGCATGGCCCGGCACGATGACGAACCCACTTAACAGTGCTGTAAAATTAGCCATTTATGAAAACAAATTGAATACTGCAGCAGAGGGTGACGTAAGGAGAGTTGGCTCCAGACAGAAACTCCTGTAGCCTGGATTAGCAGAAGAGCTCCGTTATATCAGGGCTCAGGCGTAGGAGCTGATAACAACTTGGGTCCTACAGGAAATTTTGAACAGACACAACAGGCTTTCCCCTATAGCACGTGGGGCTCCTCTACAACGTGCAGTGCCAGAAATGGGGGTGGAAGGGAAGCAGTTGACACAGGCAGAAGGTTGGGGGCAGAAAGCAGATGAAGATACAAGGAGGACTCTGAAAAAGGGGTGTCTTAAAGTCAGTTTTGCCCGCTCCCTCAGGGCTGCACATTTATAGTTCCCCACTCTGCAACAGGGATGGAAACTGGGGAGAAACTCACTTCTGGCACTGGCAGCAAATTTGACCCAGTCCCTACCCCCTGCCAAACACCCAGAAGGGCTCTTGCTTCCAGTGAGGTCCTACAGATGCAACTTCAACAGCAGAACCAGGCTCCGGAGCCCGTCACATCCCAAAACAGTGAAAATGAGAAAGCCAAGAGTTTTGGCAGCCAGAACCCTTGATTTCCTCATTGAGGGAAGCGTAATCTCTCCCTAAGCTTGCTGCAGGTCTGGGAGGCTGTGGTGTGCGGAGGATACTCCGAGTGAGTTCCTCTTGGAGCTCTTCCAGGTGTTTACACACAGAGCCAAACCTGGCTCCTCTTCAAGAGTGCCTGTGAGGGGGGCAGGGGCAGCTTGGAAATCAAATAGAATCCCAAAGTCCTCCCGGGCTGAGCTGCAGGCTCCGCCGTGCAAAACTGGGGCATTTCTTTTCATTTTTCACAGTGGAATGTTATTTCCATGCATAAAATGGGTCAAGTGTTTTATACAGGCAACAACCCAGCCTCCCCCATCCAATTAAAGTATTTTACTACAAATGATCTTTGTGTGTGTGTGTGTGTGTTTGTCTAGGCTCCCTATTGTGTGAATTAAGAGATACTTGCACCAAAGACAGACATGGGGTCTTAGGTGTTGGATTAAACACATTAAGAATCACACTGGCTATGTCTCGCCACAGATGAGATCCGTGTAAACCCAAATTCTGCCTTTCCTAACTTGAAAGGGAAGCACTTGGAGCCCTGGGGCTTGAGATTGGGAAGCAGAAGAGTGGAGTATGAGAAAACCAGGGGAAATAAAGCAAGTGATAAGCTATTTCACCTATGAAATCACTCATCTGCCTGTCCTACTGAAGGGACCAGCCCATGCCCGGCACCCCCTGCCCACCCCAGCAGCCCCACACACCCTGTGTCCCCCTCCTCACAGCAAGCCCGGCAGCTGGGATTGAGGAAGCGAAGGGAAAGCGCTGCCGAGTTCATCTCAGTTTGTGTTTTCCTTAGGACAAAGCAACTTTCCAGTGAGAGGACAGTCGCATGGGACGGGGATGGGGTGATGGGATGGCAGGAGGAGGGTGGCATGGGACAGAGACGGGGCAGCCAGTACCACAGCACAAGCATCCACTGGCTTCTGGTAGGAAGTGACTCCAGTTAAAGGGAAAGGGGAAATCCTCCCTGTCTCTTTAAGGAATCCTAGGACATGGAAACTTTGTACTCTCAGGGAATCTCCTTGCCAAAAGAACTGTAAAACATGTCTTTCTCCCCCCCCCCCATTCCTTTCTCTTTCTGACTTTTTTCTTCTAAGGGCATTTCCATTTTCTATGACTTCCTTCACTGCAAAGATGGATGTGGCGACGTTTATAAGGGTTGGTAACCCCCCAAAAAGTATCCGATTTCAGGACAACTTTGCTGCACTTTATCACTAAAGCGGAGAGGAGACGGGAGGGGGGGAAAGGACCCAACTTCATGATGGGCTCATAAAACTGAAATAAGAAAAGTGCAATATTCCTCATGATTGCTCAGCTCAGCCAGCCCAGGCTGGTAGCTGCTTTGAGTACTAAATGATTTTATAGGGCTATTTGACCTTACAATCATTTGTGTTACACTTGCCATTTCTAAGGAGAGACAAAAACACCGCACACATCCTCTCGCTGCAGTGCTGGTCCCAGCCCTCACTGAGTGTCCTGGGCTTGGGAACTTTATAAACTCATTTGATTCAGTGTAGGTTTCACAATAGCCAAAAGTTCCTTTACAGCTTTCTGGAAACCACACGCTAACATTGCCTCCGAAAGGGCAACAGGGAAGTACACTAAAAAGCTAATAAAACTAAGGAAATCATATAGGGACCTTAGATATTCATTTCTCTGCAGCCACACACCAGACACACACGTTTCTTTCCATACACACCACACAAGCTACTTTCAAACGCTCTGTTTTAGTTTTCCAACGTGAAAATCAGGTAAAAACCCACCGTAAGAGCGCTCTCACCCATCCGCGTCTTATTCCATACACACAGAGTAAAGGAACTACCCAGGATACTGCCATTTCCCTATGCAAAAGTTTACATAACTTTTCCTGCCAGCACAGACTTCCAGACACTTTGCAGAGCTCCAGTGTTCCACCGAAGACACAGATACCCAACGCAGCCGAGCGTGTCCGCACAGGCATTCCCATCCCTCTGCGTGTGTGTGTCCGAGGCACATCCAAACGCACACAACACACACACTGCACACACACACAGACACACACGCACGCCTACAGCTGGCTGCTCCGGTTCCCCAAACCTACAAGGGATGCTGCAGCCACAGGCACGACCAACTCCCTACCTGCAATGACAGCCGGAGATCTCTGTCCTCCTTCGGCTTTCAGCCACACTTGCAAAGTGAAGGCATCTCGGGGCAGCTCAATATCTGCTTTCAACCGCAGCTGATCACCTTGCCCACTGAAATAGAGCGCCCTGCTCGGGGTGAGGGACTCCTCGGCGTCCTTCACCTCCCGCTGTTGCCTCCTGCGGGGGCCATGCCCGGGCTCCAGCCCGGCCGGGGAGCGCCTGCCCCGGGCTAACCTGGTGGCACAGGTGCCCGGGGCAGTGTGGTGGGGCGGGCGGCTCTGCCTGGTGTCCCTCCGCGCCCTGCGGGAGCGCTCGTCCATCCCACATTCGGGTCCACTCGCTAGGGCTGTACAGAGAAGCGCAAGAGGCAGCAGCAAACTCCAGAGCTGCATTTCCAATCTTCCCCCCCCTTCTCCCCTGCAAATCCTCCCGATCTGCCAGCTTTGGGCTCCTCCTTGCCTTGACTTTCTTCTCTTGTTCACCCTTCTTGGTATTTGCTCTTTTTATAACCCTTCTCAGTTGCTTTTTCTTTTCTTTTTTCTTTTTTTTTTTTTTCTTCTTTCTTTCTTTCTCTTTTTCCTGCTTATAGATTTTTTTCTTTTTTTTTTCCCTTTTTTTTTTTACTCTCAAAACAAATGCAAATATAATAAATCAAAACTCCTTCTTGCTTGAAATGTATTCCTCTCTTCTTCCTTCTCTATCTCTCTTCTCCTCTATTCCTCCACAGCTGGAATTCCTCTCTCTTCTTTTCTCTGCTGGATTTTCTTCCCTTTATTTTTTTTTCCCTTCCTTCTTAAAAAAAAAAAAAAATACAAAACACACCAAAAAAACCCCCAAAACCCCCCACAACCCCCCACACACTCACTCACACACACACAACCCAAAACAACCCCCAACACAACCCCCCCAGCTTCCTCCAAGACTCAGCCCCACTGATTGCCCTCCCCCCAAAAGATGCTCTAATCTATTTATTTTTTTGGCCTCCTTTATAACATAAGGCACAGCCCCCTCCTTCCCCCCAGCCTCCCCCCCCCCCCCCCTTCTTCTCCACAAAATGAAAGAAAAGAGAAAAAAGCCCCTCAGAAGATGAGTAAACAAGAATATGCTAATCTACTCTAGGGTGCTCCACCTTCCCAATTGAATGATTCCCATTAAAACTGCAGGGATCATGACTAATCAATCAGCTTGAAGGAGCAGATAGCTCCAGAGGTTCAAACACTTTTGCTGTTTGCTTTTTCCCCCCCTTTCTTTTCCTCTTGTTTCCCCTATCACTTCCCTCCCACCACCCCTTTATTTATCTTTTAAAGAAGACAATCAAGATGAATGGATCAATGTGACAGGAATCCTGCACCCCGCTTCCCACCAGCTCCCCAGCTTTCTTGCTCAGTCCAGTCCAAAACACACATTCCTATTTTTTTCTTTCTTGGCAAAAGAGAGAGCTATTTCTCCTCTCAGACTCCCCGTTGCACTTTGCTGGTAAACCTTATGCTCCTCTGCAGCACATAAAGAGTCTTGAAACTTGAGTCTCAGATATTTTTTTTAATTGCCCGCTTGCTTTCTTTCTCCCCTTTATTTTTTTCACTCTTTCTCTCTTTTTTTTTTTTTCCTATATCTTTCTTTCGCTCTTTTAGGATTTTCCTAAAGTTATGCAATCAGCCGGGCTCCCCCTTTTGTGGTCCCCCTCAGTGCAGTTGTGTGCAGCTAATCCAAATGTTGCATCAAAAAGGTCCCCATCGAACCATCAGGAGCTAAAAGGAGAGTGAAGCTTTTTTGAAGAGCATTTTGCCTTCCAGAAGCTGGAGCCACGGAGCAGGATTTGGCTTTTGAATGCTCCAGAGACTCCTGGATTTAGGTTGGGTTTGTGTTTTTGTTTTTGTTTTTTTTTTAACCATAATAAAAAAATAAATCATTAAATTTATTGGTGGCTTGAGTCAAAAAATCCTCTCTCAATATTGCTAATGTTTCACAGCCTAAGGAATTCAGCTCCTCGGGTTTCCTTGGCTCAGCTGGAGCCACAGGTAAGGTTCTGCTGCTTGCTGCTTTGGAGATCTCTGGTTCTGAGCTGGGACGGTTCTTTCTTTTCCTCCTTTCTTTTTTTTTCTAATACATTTTTTTTTCCCTCTTGAAAGGTCTCAAAGGCTCCCCCTGATGGCAACAAAAAGGATTTTTCCCAGTACTTAGTGAGTGGAAATGACTTAGCAGTAGCATGCTCTGAATTCACGGGCCACGGGACACTTAGAAGTCCAGAAGAACCAAGTCAAGTCGCACCAAATCCATTCACAGACCCAGCAACCCACATCATGCTCTTCTTCCATCTCAAAAGTAACAACTGGTACATCTTGCTTTCCTATAAACTCTATATAAACAGCAATCATACAAGCCACTTTCCCTGGGACTGTAATCTTCCTGCTTTTGCAGATTACCCTTTTAAGATGAGCTATTTATGACTGTTCACACTTAAAATATACATGATAAAATTAATGAAAGTAATTTTTTCAGTGAGAGAAAATTAATAGGACAAGGGGGGATGGTTTTAACCTGCCAGAGGGGAGATTGAGATGAGCTCTTAGGCAGAAGCTCTTCCCTGTGAGGGTGCTGAGGCGCTGGCACAGGGTGCCCAGAGAAGCTGTGGCTGCCCCATCCCTGGCAGTGTTCAAGGCCAGGTTGGACACAGGGGCTTGGAGCAAGCTGCTCTAGTGGAAGGTGTCCCTGCCCGTGGCAGGGGGTTGGAACTGAATGAGCTTTAAGGTCCTTTCCAACACAAATCAGTGTGTGAGTCTATGAAGGAGCTGCTGCATGTTTGCAAGGCTTCCAAGAGGTGTTTTTTTTCAGTTTTATACTAATTTACGAACACCCAAGAATGTACAAGTGGCATTTTCAGAGATGTTTGGTATATCCATAACATCCCACCAGAAACCAACAGGACCGACAGCTGAGCAGCCCCTCTCCAAGCACACATACCTCCCCTCCACAACAGCTCCACTTACACGACAAAATACTGGCAACATCGACACAGTTTAGAGTAGGAGACCTCAAAGCAATTAAGCCTCTCAACAACCAAGAGGAAATTGTTAGTTAGGAAACAAACTCCGCGGTACAACCTCCCATAAACGTCCTGAAGAACTCAGAGGGATGCAAAAAGGATGCTCCTGCGTACGTGCCTGCTTGGGAGGAACAAGTTAAGATCATAGATGAAGTACTGCACTTTGCTCTTCCAATTCAACACATCAAGGACAGTGTAAATCAAACAACAACTCCGGAAGTTTAAAGTGAATCTATTCAAATAAGAGCTAAAGCAGGATGAGACCAACTGCTGGGGAGTGCTTCTCCACTCAGCAACTCCTCCAAAGTCCTAAGGAATGTCGCCCACATCGAGTCTGGACTGGCAGGCATTTCAACTAAAATAATGCAGGTTCCAGTTTTCCCAGTAGCAAAAGCTAATCGTGTGAAATCACAACCCTTCTTCAGGACATTCTGACTTGGAGGAAATCATTAAGAAAAGGACTGAAACATTTCCATTTGATGGCACCGTACCATTTCATTTTGAGCAGATTTGACCTTCTGTCTCTTCTTAAGATATTACTGGAAAAAGGAGCTCCACTGTGACCAAAATGCAACACTTCAATGCATCAGACTGCAACTCTAGTAACAAGTTCTGGGGTGTCCTTGTTACAAAGGAAAAGCCCAAAGCACAGCTTCTCATACAGCACAGAGCATGAAAAGCTGGAATTCACCTCTAGTGCACAAATTACATGTTCAATCACTTTTATTTCTAAGACATAACAAAAACGTAAAGAAAATGCAATAACTGATACATACACTCTTGAATCCTGAGTGGTAAAGAGCAGAGAGTGGAAGAGATGGGATTTTAGGAACAGGGAGTAAATCTGCAATTCCTTAAGTCCATGGGTCAAATCTAACTTCCCTGACAACAGCTGAAATTCTACCCTGCACAGATGGACACTTATTCTCTGCTTAAACCAGTACTTAAGTGATGTACGGGCCTTCTGGCAGAGGGGTTTCTACCCAAGGAGAATAATCCTACTGTTGAACTTGAGTGGAGTATTCTCCTAAGTAAAGGGAGCAGGATATTGTCCTGCATCTAGAGTCATTTTCACAAGAAAAAGGGAAAAAACACCAAACCCTAGATACACATATAGAGACAAGAATTAAAATAGATATTTATGATATGATGCCAAAAAAACAGCGTTGAGCTACATGCTGCATACAGTCATTGTAACTAGAAATACTCAGCAGGAATCTTAGCTGAAGCTGCCAATAACTCCCAGGTTCAGGACTAGAGCTGAGTGAATAAATCATAGCAAATAATGGTTTTGTTGAATTTTGACTCTTTTTTTCCCCTCTTATTAGCAAGGAGGCTGCAAAACCTCTCAAATATGTTTGAAATTATATTCCCATTTCTTCCTCATATTTAGCATTTCTCTAAGGCCAATTAGCACACAATTTGCTGGAATGTACACATTCTCACATTTGTTCTGTGTTCATTAGGCAAGGAAGTCACACAACATTCTTTTGGGCTCCCTGGAGGTCGGGTTTAATCGCTCATGATATAGTAAAGTTCCTAATTTTGCATACAAGGGGAGATTCTCCACTGCTTGAAACTCTCCTTGCGAAAAGCAGCCTTGGCTCTTCAGCTTACTCACATGAAGGTCAATCAAAAACAATGTTTCTTGAAAGTCAAGCTGAAAACTCTGCCAGTTACAGCTGAATCGAGGCCCTACTATTTTGGGCAAGTATTTGTACATATTTGTCTTCACTGAGCACCACTCCATCAATCACAGCAGAGATTTGCATGGCTCTTACCCCTCACCAATACCCCAATCAAGTCTCCCTGAACTTGGCTTGGGTTGAGGATGGAAACGCAATCCAAGAGCTACTCTGCTCAGAATCAGACAGGGCCCAGACACCAGATTTTAAGGCAACGTGTTGGATTCGGGGAATATTTTATGCAATCAACAGTGGTATGATAGGAATCACGCTGCCTCCACAGAATAGCGAGGAATGAAACCCAAAGAGCCGAGGATAGCTTCAAAGAAAAAGCGATTCGGGCGTTCTGGGTTGTGAATCCCACCATGTCCAATTTCACTTAGGGACTGACAGAGCCACTCGCTTGGTGTCACAACCAAGACAGGGGCTGCACTAGGTGGAACTTGGCTTCAGCTCCTCGTAAGCCCAAGTAAATGCCGAAATGCCAATAACTCAAACCCCAACAATCCAAACATGCCAAACATGTTGTGCCTTGGAAAGGATTTAACAGAAGACCTCATTTGGACTCAGTGTAAATTCCCCAGTTTTTCACATATTTTCTCTATCTGCCCTTTCTCCACCCGTTTAAAAAAGGACAAATGATTCAAAGCCTGTGTGCTGCCTTTACTGTCACACTCCACACTAAGAACAACCCTGATTTTAAGGGTCTTTTATAACTATTCCCTGCATACTCATAATCCCATACAACTGCACTAACTTGACCAGAATTCCGATCACCAGCACTGTGTTGCCTTTATGAGTGGATAAGAGACTCTTCTACTGCTGGTTCTCCCATTGTCCCACGCATAAACCACACACTCCGGCAATCTACATCAATAAACCAGCTTCATGTCAGTTTGAAATACAGCATTTAAGCCAGAAAAGTTTACTGAACAATTAGCAAGTGCAATAAATGACAAGCAAGACTAAACACATAATTGATGACTTCATGAAGGTATCAGGAATTTTGTAAGGTAATTTGCAGTCAGTGGCTGTAAATTCCTCTTTA